GCCCTGCATTGAAGCAGGAGGGAGGCGTATGTGGTGATGGCACAGTGTACTATGACACTATACCATCACCACCTCTCAGTCGATAGATTTTTGCTGTTAGATCAAAACTAATTCAAAAGATCGACTGTTTTTGAAACCCCCAAAAAACATTTAATATAATTCCAAAGAAGAATGATTTAAGCTCAACAAAGGGGGTTGGTGTCATAGTACACTGTGCCATCACCACATACGCCTCCCTCCTTGCTTCAATGCAGGGCTTAATTTGGGGCGGGGGTCACTGATGAGGAGGACGAACCTCCGAAACACCGGTGTATGACCCTGGGCGTACCAACCCCCTTTTTTGAGCTTAAATCATTCTTCTTTGGAATTATATTGAATGTTTTTTTGGGGGTTTCAAAAACAGTCGATCTTTTGAATTACTTCTAGCATTGTTGTGATATGTTGAAGAATGAGTGAGTAGTGGCGCAAATGTACCACGGTGGTGCAGTGGCACAGCACGAGTCCCCAGATAGGATGAAACGAGGGCTCGATTCCCGCCTGAGGCCGTGTTTTTGCTCACCCCTCATTTGTCTTAGTGTTAACTTCTTTAGTAAATTTTTAGTACTCTATGAGTTGGCACTTTTGTTGAAATTGTGATTTCCTTGTCATATACTAAATATCCTACGTATCTTATGCTCATGTCTGTTATGGCACTTATACAGTACTGGACACGTGTTCCGGTATTTAGTAACACGGTGCCTTTCGGTTTAGTCAATCGCCTGCTCTGGAAAATCTTCCATAAACCCAAAGGAATCGACGCCTAATTAATACGAATATCACCGCATGTCAAATGATAAAATTTTTTGACATTACGGTGACCAATAGTCGATTGGCATTACGCTACTGATGAGGGCTGTAATACCGAAACATGTGTCTAACACCGTATTAATACCATACCAGGCCTTGTCAAAGGCTCAAAATGTAGTATCAGATTATATGTCCTACATAATTTTTGAATGTGTCCTTCATATACTTTTGGAACAGTTCAGATTTTATTGTAGAAAGGAAAACCAAGAACCTCGTTTGCCACTGTAGTTGGTCTTCGTTGATCAGTTTCACATCATCTACGAAGTAGATTTTTTTTGACAACTCTGGGTTTCCGTTCTCTCCATCAATAACCATGACTCAGAACACAAATCAAAAGTCAAGTAAGAAATGATATTCACCAAAATTTTTCTTTTATCTAGTGCATTTATATAAGCTCAATTAACGATGCCGATTTTTTCCAGTTGTGTGTAATTTTCGACAAACTAAGAAGCTGAGTTCAAAGCTTGATGGAGCTGTGGAGAAGACTGTTACCTAGTCAATACATCAAGATGTAGCGGAATGAAAAAAGTTTGTAGCTATGCTTCTGTCAATAAAAGTAGTGCTTTGATCAACCAAAGTTTCACACGGTGACCAAAAAAATTTAATTTTCAGCAAACAAACAAGCTTAGGATAAAACAATAGCAAGATGTCTGATCGGACGTAAAAGATGAAGGTAAAAATGCAATAAGTGTCCAAATAACAAAAACTATTAGGGAGTTGCGATTATGGTGAGTGACAACGTCAATTAATAATTCTTCGAAAACCTAGTAAGCAAGAAAATGAACAAGGGTTCGGTTACGGCTCGGATGTGGTTCACAATGGGACGACCTAGTATTGTTTAGTTTTTATCAACTACATGGTTTAACGTCCTGCCATTGGGCCTCAACCTGAACCTTAGCGATGTGCCGCTAAATTTTTACAAGGAAATGCTCTTGAACATGAGTATGGCTGGCTACACTGATAACATAATTGCCGCGAATTCATGGGGGTCTTCATAACGATGTCCCATGTCGCCTTACGGTAATCATCTTTCCATATGCAGATAAGGTGTTAAACCACCAAATTATTGTCGTAGTATTTGTTGAAAATATAAAGCTCCAATATACTACAACGTGCGTTTCATTTTAGGTCGTCTTTCTTCCTACCAAATCATCTAAGTGAACTTTTACGTGATGGACAAGGCCGTTGATGTGGGTAAGAGAGCAGAGAGAAATTGTTTTACATGAGAACAACAAATGGTATTCACGACCATGCCATTTGATATTGTTGGAAATATTTCACGCCTTCTTCTTTTACCTAAAATGTAATCTATTGAAGCATAGAAATCCTCATCAATCGTTCATATTGGAATGTGAAACTGTTAGCAAACGTGTTAAGCGTTCATTTTTTTCTGCTACTAGCAATTCAAGTAAAAAAATGACGAACTGAGTTCGGACCAAAAATGAGACCTACTCCAAATTTCAATTGATTTCCCTCCAATCCAACAATATTGGTCGTATTTTGGTGATCATTTTCAGGATGAAGATGAGTGTCTGAAATAGTTTTGGTATGGGAATATTATGACGGAGAGTGTGTAGCGCAGTGGCTAGAGGTTCTCCACACCACACACGTGGTCATTTAATTTGATCCACCGCTTAGAGCTCATCAAGCTTTTCGCATCTCTGGTTGCGACGAATGGGTACTGGAGTTCTCTAGGAGAATACTCACTTACATCGATAGGCCATTGCGAATCATTGTAGAGGCCAGAAACGCACTTAATCACGTTCAACAATACTTATTGAATTCGATTATGTGGCGCATCCTTTATGGAACGATTGAAATCAAGAGCTTTATCATTTTTTGATTAATATAATGACAGCAAAAAAGTCTTACTTTTGTCTAGAAACAGGATTATTGAGCTGCAATTAACTTCCATAGAGAAGAAGTGTTTTCAAAGTTCTGGTTGTTCCATTATTACACTATTGTTTTATTCAGTTCCTTTTCCATTTCAAAAATGGGTTATTGCCGATACACTGGGTTATTGCAATGTTGAAGAATGTTCTAATATCTTTGGCCAGGGTGTACAAAAGAGCACGCGTGTTGAAGGCTCATTTACCGAGAGTTGTTCGATTATGTTTTACGAATATAAGTTGAAGACTAGTGCATGTGAAGACAGCCAAGAAAATCATCACCCCGTTTGAACCAGACCTACTGAGGATCGGGGTTCTTTTCGGTTATAAGGGAACAAATGATTTCCGACATCATTCGCTGGAGAGCAACTTTTCATAGGAGTATTTTAAAAGCTCAAATCTCTGGCTACAGCTCCAGCTAACCGCCTTTCAAAAAAGCCTTTTTCTGACGTTGTTACAACTCACATTCCTTTGTCTTTCACACACGTGTCACTTTCTCTTCAGTGCAGCAGGAAAGATAAAATTGATTCACTTGCTCAAGAAGGTGTTTTTTGGCTTGGTTCCAGTAAGAACTCTGCATTCGACATGCTATCAAATGGTTAGAAAAGGCCTGACCAAGAAACTCTGTGCAACGAGTGGGTCTTTCAAATTCGTCAATGTAACTGTCAAAATCAATGTCCATGGCGTCAAAGTGTCAATGACATGGGAACATCACTGTTAAATAGCAATTTTTTTCCTCAGATATCTTTGCAGAAATCGCTCATTCCAGAAGGTATAGGCTCATTCTTAATCTGTATAAATTGCTTTTTCAATGTCATTTCAGAATTCTAGGAGTGGATTGCTTGATGGAATGGGTACCTAAAGTGAAATACAAATCAGTACTGCTTTTTTGAGTGACGTTTTACTCATTCTCAGGCAATTCTTTTGCTCTTATCATTGCAAGTCGTAATTATTTAGTGATACCAGTTCTTTTATGGCTGTGCTACTAGGAGCTTTAATGACTCAGCTCTGAATCGGCACTGCTTTTTTGAGTGACGTTTTATTCAATCTCATGTAATTTTCTTACTCTTATTGTTTCAAACCGTATGTGTTTAATAATACCAATTCTCTTATGGCTATACTACTAGGAGCTTTGAAGATTCAGCTTTCAAAAAAGACACAAAAGTAACGATGAAAAAGGGGACTATGAAAACACGCAATCCGTGTAATGTTGGATAACTTACGTCTATGAAAAAGGCGTTTGAATGCCATCTTAATTTTGTCATTGTAATGATATAGAGTTATTGATGTCGTTGTAGAGAGTAGCGCAATGCAGGTATCAAGCACGAAACCAAAACCTTTCAGCAAAATCATCACCTTCCGTTTGTATCTGAGTCAAAAGAAATTTTATTGCTAAGTTATGGTCACATTGGTGTATGTAGTATCAAGTAGTAGTCCAACAGTAATGTATCTATCTAACAGTAATAGATTCGACAGTGAAGACAAGATTTAAAGTGGTATATTTTAAAGAAAACTAACCCTCTTAGCTCCACTAATAATTTTTTGGTCGAATAATTGATGAGTGACTGTGAAATAGATCATTTCCAATCAATGAAACTTACACAAAGTACACGAGGAAATTGAACGATATCCAAGCAGTAAGAAACTGGATAGAGACCACCTTCATGAACTGAAATAGCCACGCTGCTGTTTCCACGTTTTCTCTGATCTGTAAGGCGTAACGTTTTTACTTAACTATAATGAATTGTACAAATATGTGTCATGGAAATCTTAGAAATCTGAATAGTTTCGCCTGCTTTATTCTCCAGTGAAACTCATCTGTTAACATTTACCATTGATTACTGACCATAGAATCGTAGTGAGAATTCTCCAAAACTTCTTGTAGATACTATAAGCATATTCCCTTTGAGCATAACGCCCTCGACGGAGGCAATAAACAGCCATTGGCTATATCCTTCTTACACCATGCCTCGAGCTCAGTGGACTGAACTCGAGGTATGCTCCAACTAGGTATGTATCAAAAGTGCATTGAAAATCGATGCTATGAGTATGAAATGAGAACAATGGCTAGGAGACTCTGATATACGTCCGGCCAAACATAACAGACTTTTCTCTACACTCCAAACTATCGAAAGCCAGTTGAGCCGATTACGTAATATTCTATAACACTATCGATGTACAAGAGCTACTACCCGATGAATTTCTCAGAATATAAAATTCTTAGCAGGAATAACCCGACCCAATGGTCAGAACTCTCCACGAAACCTTAGAATGAAGGATAATTTTTTCTCTAAAATCGCAATTTTATTTCGCCTGCTGCAGCACCTTAAAGAGGTTTTTTAGAAAAAATGCATAAAATTAGAGTTGCCGAGATTCGCGCTATCAAATAGCTACCAGAACTCCTAGCGTAAATAGAAATTACTTTGCTTCTGAAAGGTTGAAAATGCTCACAGATAACGGAAAATTACCGAATGAGTATGATGTTCGGCGAATTCCTACAGCGATGAGAAACCATTGTGCAACGCACAGCTTATTATAAATTGACAATGGACTCATTAACCAATGTTTGCAATCACTCTGATATTATGCAATGTCTCCAAAATTGGCAGGAATGAAAAGCCTAGGTATTCTCTAATCATTGCTAACCAATACTGCTTTACTCCTAGCTGATATTCCCATCAGAAATGTAAATTCCTCCTCAGCTTACGTAATTTGTAGTAAACTGAACAAGAATACTGACAAAATTTAGAGTTAAAAGCTTGCTTGCTTTAGCAAACAAGAGAAAAGACGAAAAACTTAGAGTCCTTCCA